TGTGTAAGTCCGGCTGTCGGCTGCCAAGCCCTGAGGGTCCAATTAGGGGCCGAGTACCTTAGCCCATAAAAAGTTAACCTTTTCATTTATAATAGGTTTATATCAGCCCCAAAAGGCTAAAGGTTACCTACTCAGCCCCTAAGAATTCACATATTACTGCGATTACCCTCCTAAGTCCTAAGCATCCTCACGGTTTCGGGGTTTAGGGGTTTAGGGCTTTAGGAGTTGAGGGATTTAGGGGTTTAGGGTTTAGGGGTTTAGGGGTTTAGGGTTTAGGGTTTAGGGCGTAGGGCTTAGGGTTTAGGGCGTAGGGTTTAGGGTTTAGGGGTTTAGGGTTTTTTGGGGTTTAGGGTTTTTGGTGTTTCTAGGGTATTTCGGGCTGCAGAAGTATAAGTGACACGAAAGAAGAACAAAAACGATCTCACCTAAACAACACCTGAACCATCAGACAGCTACCGAAACAGGTCGTTCTCTAAATTAGGATCCTTTCCAGCCAGAAAAAAGCCCAAAAAGGGACCCTAATTTAGAGAACTACCCATATCCGAGCCACAAGTGCCACGAGTTCCCAGGTGATACCTTGGCCAGGACGTTAGTGGTTTGGGGTTTAGGGCTTAGGGTTCACATACTTGAAAAGGAGGCTGTATAAGACTTGCTATAGGGCCGTAAACCCTATAAACCCTAAACACCTAAATCCTGAACCCTAAACCCGTAAACCCTAAACCCTCTATAGGCTCTGCTTAGAAATAGAGCCTTGAGGACTCGAGGTTCTCTTGGTTTTAGGGTTTGGGGTTGAGGATATGTGGTCGCTTGTGGGCTAAAGCCGGCTTAGGGGTTTAGGGTTTAGTGGGGGTTTTGGGATTCAGGGTTTAGGGAATGTTGCGGCCTGGTCCTTACACTATGTACCCAAGGGGTCCATTACGAACCCTCAAGGCTCAAAATGGTGTATAGTCTGGCATGGTCTTTGGGTTTTCAAAAGCCAGGAGCGCTTTGAGGTGACATGCCTTGGGCCTGTCTCAGCCAGAAACCCCGCCGATGCCTTAAGTTCATGGGTCCTGGACCCCTAGAGCTATACCCTCCAACACCCTGAACTCTAAACCCTGTGGTTTATAATATACGTTTTTAAACCCTAAACCCTAATTTAGTGCCCAGCCAACAGTGGCTCCCTGTGGATATACACATGTCGTCGAAGTGATGCAAGCGGCTTCAGGTCTCCGAGAAAGTCATTCTGCTCGCCGAACTCCTTGGCGTGGGGGCTCTAGGCCCGAGGGGTGGGTAGATATGTACAGTAGTGGGTCTATGCTTTCGGGATTCGGGACAGCAGCTAGAGGAGGAGCAACGATGACAATCCTAACCCTAAAACCCTAAACCCTAAACCCCTAAACCCTAAACCTTTAAGATCTAGCTGCTTGTTGAGGATGTGCCACACTGGCAATCTTGTCGCTGTTCCAAAATATAAGCAGAGTTCCAACAGAAAGAAGACTTGGAGTCCTGGCTTCTATATATGTATATGTATATGTATATGTATATGTATATGTAGATGTAGATGTAGATGTAGATGTAGATGTAGATGTATATGTATATGTACAAATATATATATATATATATATGTATATATATGTATATATATATATATATATATGTATGTACATGTATAACTATATCTAGATCTACGAACACATACACCTGTTGCCGGGCAAACACATCTCAAACACATCTGCGACAGGCGTGTGCAAACAACTATGCCTAGCACCTGACCGTGAACCTATGCCCAGGACCCTAAACCTTAAACTTTAGTAAACCCCTAAATCTAAAACCAGATCCTAAGCACCTTCGCCCCTAGCCCTAAACCCTAAACCCTAAACCCCAAACCCTTAACCCTAAACCCCTAAACCCCTAAACCCTAAACCCTAAACCCCTAACCCCTAACCCCTAACCCCTAAACCCTAAAAATCCCAAACCCTAAAGCCTAAACCCTGACAAGGGTCGCTGCAAACCTCCCAGACTCGCTTGCCCATGAAGTTCACCTCGGTTTTTCTCCAGGATCTTCAAAGGCTTATAGGGTTTAGTTTAGGGCTGATAGGGTTTAGGAGGTTTAGGGTTTTCGGGTTTAGGGTTTTTGGGTTTGGGG